GGGTCGGGCGGGGGTCGGGCGGGGGTCGGGCGGGGGTATACGCGAGGTCCAACAAAAGGGTCGGCGGCAGGGGCGGCGAGCGTATATAACCTTCGGTTACCAACCGAAGGCCTCCGGCAAGGACACGGGCCCGTGGCCGGCGCCCGGATTTATGAGGCTTATGCCTGACAGCCGGGCGCCGGCCAAGCAGGGTGAGGGTTTGTGTTCAACGGTTTCGCTCTTGGCCCTAGGTTGGGCCAAGTTGAGCCCATGTGGTCTATGTTAGGCACATCTTGGGCCCAAGTTGAGCCTATGTTGGGCCTAGGTCGGCCTATGTTAGGCCTATGTTGGCCTAGGTTGGGCCTATGTTGGCGTATGTTGGCCCCATGTTGGCATATGTCGGCCCTATGTTGAGCCATCTTGGAGGCTATGTTGGGCATATGTTGGCTATCTTGGGCCTATGTTGGGGAAATGTTAGGCAACTTCTGTGCCCAACACCCACGAAATGTCGATTAAGCCTGTCCGCGCGGCACGCATAACCGACACCACCAGTGCCCTGTTAGACGCAAGTCATGTCCGCCGAAGGCCACGAAACACTGTAAAAAACGATGTTTTCCACATCATGCGCAATCATGCTGGTAGATAAAATATAAATAACATAAAAATCCGTCAAAAATCTGTCGACACGCTTCGGGCGGGGGTATACACGCGGTCCAACAAAAGGGTCGGCGGCAGGGGCGGCGAGCGTATATAACCTTCGGTTACCACCGAAGGCCTCCGGCAAGGACACGGGCCCGTGGCCGGCGCCCGGATTGTAAGGGCTCCGCCCCCTGCCGCCGACCCCGGGGATCTATATTTCAGCCGTGAAGCTGGAAAACAGGACAGAAGTCCGCCTATACGCAACGCAATAGATCAATTCAATTGTTCTTTTATATATAAAAGGAGATTTCCTCCCATTCAGGTGTGATTTAAAAACATTTGGGTCTTAACATGTCATGTACAGGTGGTTGATGGTGATTGTATTGTCAGTGTTGCAAGCTGTGCCAAGCTCTTTTCAGCGCGTTCGCTCAAAGTCCATCATCCTAAGCTGGACTCGGCCACACCATCACACAGGAATCATTGTATTGGACATTCAGCAGTTTTAGAAAAATTTCAGTGTGGAGCTTGTTGGTAAAAGGGCGCAAGCCGCCTAACCAGCTTCAAAATCAAGGACAAACATCCTTGTCCATCCAACGAATCCCTTAGATCAGCCTCACCACTGCTCCCTGAGCAAGATCTAGATCAGACTTCAAAAAAAAGAGCGGCTTGCCTTGGATAAAGACACGGAGCCACGGTACACGAGACTTTTCAAGCACGAAGCTCCACGAAACTCAGCCAACTAGTCGAAGCAAGTTTCGTGGCCACGGGTCCTCTGGCTGGTGCAGAAGAAGCCGTTCTCTCACCTCCCACGGGTCCTCTGGCTAGTAGACACCTGTTCCGAGGGATTTCCTCCGCCACAGCTTTCCACAATCTAATTCGAGACCAAAAATCGCCCGAAAGAGGTCCTCCGCGTACGCCCCCAGAATGTCTAACGTTGCTGCTTTCGGAACCCGTACAACAAGTCTGTGAAGCAGCGTCAAGCACGCCCTTCCTTCCGCTTTCGACCCGTTAACGTTGCTTTCGGAACCCGTATTATAAGTCTGTGAAGCTCGGAAGCCTCGAAAACGCCGTTCTCTCACCTCCCACGGGTCACAAGAAGCCGTTCTCTCACCTCCCACGGGTCCTCTGGCCACGGGTCCTCAGACTGGTGCACAAGAAGCCGTTCTCTCACCTCCCACGGGTCCTCTGGCTGGTAGACACCTGTTCCGAGTGCTTTCCTTCGCCACAGCTTTCCACAATTTAATTCGAGACCTTAAATCGCCCGAAAGAGGTCCTCCGCGTACGCCCCCAGAATGTCTAACGTTGCTTTCGGAACCCGTAAAATAAGTCTGTGCAGCAGCGTCGAGCACGCCCTGTCTTCCGCTTTCGACCCTTCAGCCACGCTTCAAGCCGCCGGCTGTCACGGAAACGCCTCGGAAGCATCGAAAAAGCCGTTCTCTCACCTCCCACGGGTCCTCTGGCTGGTACACAAGAAGCCGTTCTCTCGCCTCCCACGGGTCCTCTGGCCACGGGTCCTCTGGCTGTCACGGAAGCATGCCCTCGGTTGCCTCCTCTGGCGCGCGCCCCCTTCAACCGGCGGGGTCGGCGGATATAAGTTCTCAAATTCGCACAAATCCTGAGGGGGCTGGATAACAAGAAGTCGTGCAAAATCCTATGACAAGTTGTTGGGTTAATGAGCTCGCAGGGGGTGGACTAATTGTAAGGGTGGAACAGAATGTGGAAAATTTGAAGGTTATACCGGCGGCCGGAAGTTAGAATGTCATCTTGGAGTTTCGGGCATGGAAATATTCCATAGGGGATGCCATTTTGGGGGCGTTCTAAATGAAACCTACTTTTTTTTGACATGGTTTTTGAACTTGCATCTTTGACGTGTCCTAAACCAGATAAAACAGTGTTAGCAAAGTTTGTTGAACGCCGCTGTCTTTTTTACTGAGCTTATGCGTGCAAATGCCATTTCCTGTTATGACCCAGCTGCATTCAGTGGCTTGAACTGACGATTTGCTAGGAATTGAGTTCTACAACACGCACACACACACTTAGATGAGCTAATGCCAGTATGAAGTTCCCCTTGACTTGATTGAACGGAAAGAACGAGAACCAAAAGGTGGCTGGGTCGAAGGACTTGTAGGTGTTTAACAATGTTTCTTTAAGACTGGTGAAACGATGAGTTAAAAATTGGCTTGCGGGTACACGAGAAGGCGTCCCTTCTCGCTTCACAATCTCAAACCACCGTCTTCGTTGGGCAGTGGATGGAATGAGATTCACTGCCCCCCTGCCTCTTTTCTCCGCGCTGAAAAACGATATGTTAGTAGCGATACCAGGAGCCCTTAGTAGCAAAACCAGGGGCCCTAGTAGCGTTCTTTGTGACTCAAAACCTTAGGCGCACACGAAGCCGTACTGGGCGCACTGTCCCTTGCTTGCAGTTTAGTAGCGTGGCGAGGAGTCGCTAGTAGCGTCCTTACACCCCGTAGAAAGGTCAGAGGCCCCTGGGAGTACCGTCCTGGCTCCTGGTAGCGAGGCCAGAAGCCCCTAGTAGCGTCGTTTGTGTCGCAAAGCTTTGTACACATAGCGCCAATATTGGCGCTTTATTGAAAAGCACTAGCCACCTAAAAAACCTTAGAAAGACAGTAAAAGCAAACAAAACAAAAGCAGACTAAGAGGGCAAGAAAGATAGGTGTAGTTACGAGGCCCACTTAGTTAAATGAAAGTAGAACGCGAGCGGAACATTTTGTCTTAAACCGCCCGGGTAGCTAGCAATAGGGAAGGAGAAACAGAAGGAAAGGCGCCAACGCACAAGTGTGTTGGGTGCGAGTTCCTTCTGTTGCCCGAATAGCGGGTGGGATAGCAACGGAGGCCCAGGGGCAGGGAGGTACGGGGGGAGGGTGGGTTAGGGTGGCCCGTGGGCCTTGCCATCATTGGCATTCAAGTAGCCGATTTGGGCCGGCGCAACCCATTGTCTGAAAGACACCTGGAACCTAAAGAAAGGCCTCAAGAAACGAAAAGCAACAAAAAGAGAGAAAGAACCGAAGAGCATGAAAAGCACATGCAACAAAAGCAGTCGGTGGTTTGACATGCCCGCGTCCTAAGCCCCGCCTGTGGGTACTTAGACAGGCATGAGAGTGCAAATCCGAATCGGTTCAAGTCTCAGTAAGCCCTGCGGCACAGTTTCGGTAAGCCCTGCGGCACCGTTTCAGTGGTATCAAGCAAAGACTGTCACTCCAAAAATTGTAAGTCCGGACTGGAGTGTGAGTCTCAGTGAGCCCTGCGGCATGGTATCCCTCAGGATCTGGGTCTATGCACACGCAGCGCCCATCGACGGGGATCACACCACAGCCCTCAGTGGGACCCTGTGGCGAAAACACACTTAGATTGTTGCTCGCAAGAGCTAATGCCAGTATGAAGTTCCCCTTGACTTGATTGAACAGAAAGAACGAGAACCGAAAGGTGGCTGGGTCGAAGGACTTGTAGATGTTTAACAATGTTTCTTTAAGATTGGTGAAACGATGAGTTAAAAATTGGCCTGCAGGTACACGAGAAGGCGTCCCTTCTCGCTTCACAATCTCAAACCACCGTCTTTGTTGGGCAGTGGATGGAATGAGATTCACTGCCCCTGCCTCTTTTTTCCGCGCTGAAAAACTATATGTTAGTAGCGATACCAGGAGCCCTTAGTAGCAAAACCAGGGGCCCTAGTAGCGTTCTTTGTGATTCAAAACCTTAGGCACAGGTGTGGACACACACACACTCACAGACTGACAGTTGGAATGCTGGTCTTGATTCAACAAATGGCAACAAGGAAGGGAGGGAGGAGAAAACAATGACACGAACATGAGACATTCTATCCTTTTCTTGTTCCATTTGCCTTTTCTTTTCCTCTTCACTTTTCTTTTCCTTTTGTCTCCCCTTTTCCTGTCTCATTGTTCTGTTCCTTTCTTATTTGTTGCCTTTATCTGTTTCCTCTGCCCTTCCTTCTCCGTTCTGCTGCCATGTCCTGGTCTTAGCCATTGTTTCCTTTTCCTTGTTCTTCTTCCGTGTCCGATTCCTTTTGCCTTTACCCTTTTCCTTGTCATGTTTCTTTCCCCTTTCTCTTCTGTTTCCTCTCCTGTGTCTTTGCCTTTCTGCTTTCCATGTTTTGTTCTTTACCATTTGTTTCCTGTTCCTTTTTCCTTTTGTTTGTCTATTCTGTAAAAGCTATGGCATTCAAAGTGTGCCCTCTTCTTTTGGTTTTTTCGGTGCATTCTCTGCATTCTATCTTGGCCTTTCTGCTTCCATTTCTTGTTCTTTACCATTTGTTTCTTGTTCTTTTTTACTTGTGTTTGTCTATTCTGCAAAAGGTATGGCATTCAAAGTGTGCCCTTTTCTTTTGTGATTTTTGTGTGCATTCTCTGCATTCTATCTTCCAAGAAGTCCTGGTACCTACCTGCAGTTTCACAAATTTTTAAAATTCACACTCTGAACCTAGAATTCTAACTGTTAATAGCTCTTGACTAAACCTGGGGCCCAGCATTTTAACTTACTATTAATGGAAAAATCTTGAAAAGATGCATTCTATCTTACAGCCCGTCGGTATAGAAAAAAATTGTCAACCTGTGGATCAATTGTGTATATAATACGCTTGCTACGTGGTTAATAAATGAGTAAAAGGTGGGGTCACCACCTGAGTAAGTTTGTCTTAAGTACTTTTTTAAAGAACATTAATTAAAACAGGTGGGTATAGTTTTTTTTGTGAATTAGTTTCACTCTTGGGTATAGGCGCGGAATAAATCCAGGGGCATGTAAGTTGTGAACCACCCTGCCCGGTTCGTTTTGAAACACCAGTTTCATTACTCAAAATCTGCAGATTAATTGCCTGGAGGCCCCCTGATCAATTAACTCAATTTATTGCTGACCGATTTTTGCTTATGATCTTGTTAGTACTCAAACCCCTCTGATTAATTAAACTCGAATTTCCAAAGCCAGACTTGGAGCAACTCAGGATTAAATAGTTGAGTACTCCGGATTCAACAAAATAGTTAATCCAGGGTAGGGGGTAGATGACCCGGTCTAAGGTAGGGGGTATGATATGCACATGCTAAATGTCTTGTAGACTCTAGGCAAGGTGTTGAAGGGTTCATTTGGGTACAGGGGGGCCTTCTCTTTGTTTTTGCCGTTTGTGCACGTTTCACAACCTGGTGCCTTGTTGTACCAGGCTTTTCCTTAAGTTTGTCATCCATCACTTGAGCCGATTTTTTCTTGTGCCCGTAAGATTCATGAAACATGTTTGCCCCAGTTAATTTGCCCTCCCCACCCATTACACCCCCTTTTTACCTGAGCAACTGCCAAAAAGGTCTGGTCAGAAACCTTATGTGAGAGATTATTTTTCCAGAAACCGTGGGGGAATCCTGTAACTAAAAGCGGTACCAGATATCGGCTCAGTCAATTTCCTTCAAACTGGTATTTCTTGGCTTGGCGCTTTCTGCCTTACATAAAGCGATACCAAAACGATACCATGTTTGACTAAAAGTGGTGTTTAGATGAACGGGATCTCCTTTTGCATAATTTCCTATTCAGTGTATGCCGTATGCCACAGTTGAAGAGCCCCAAAAAAGGAATCGCTCGGGCAAAGGGGGAACGAGGGCTACTGTGTGAATAGATTGTTTGTTTTCCCTCTCTCTCTCTCTCTTTCTTTTCCATCACCTTTAGCAATATCCATATGTAAAATTCACACTGGCATCCGACATAGTAAAGCGATCAAGCAAACAACCAAAAACGAGACCAACATGCTTCATGGAGTTCCTTCTTTTTTGTGCACAGGTTTTGGCACTCGCTCATCTCACTCTTTTTGTAGATATTTTTGTGTTGGCATCTCGCTTGCTGAACAAGTGCTGGGTCACCACTGCTGGATGCCAGGTTGCTTAGCACGATTGTTCGATTTAAATTTGAATTGACAAAAGGATTGCTCACTTTTCGTCTTAAGCGGTACGCAGCCACCGCTTGGAGGAGAATTTTGGCTTTCCAGCGCTCTCGCATGCAGCTCTTGATGTCTTCGTTTCCATGTCTTTTACGCATCCCACAGAGGTGCCCTTTAGCTGCATCTGGGAAACGGATAAGAATAAGAATATGATTGGCAACGGGGAGCGATGTTGGCATGCGGCCCTTTGGTTGAATTGTTAACTACCATCGCATTGTTTTGAGGTGATTGGCAGGTTCGGCACCAAGGATTGGAAGCCTTGGCTGGCCCCAGATCAAGCAGCTGCTTCATGACCAGGAGGACCCCTTGCAGGCCAGGCAGACGTGTAAAGCCAGGCAGCCACGCAATAGCAGAGCCCCTTTGTCATTTGTGGAGACTTGTGTTGGTCATCTCAGACTCTGCAACATGTTTGACTGAGACATGCAAGGGCTTTTGTTGCGGCTTGCTGGCTTCAAATTGCTTGAGCAGCATGCCTGTTGATTCAGACACAGCCGTGGCTTGATTGCAGTGGCAGATTGCTGAAGAAGATGGGCACTTCTGTTGATATGCAGATTGATAGACCAGTGGCTCACCGACCAAGCCCAAGTCTATGGTTTTAGAAGGTGTTCGGCGCTAGTTCTTTCAATGTGGTTGATTGCTCTGTCACACTGACACTTTCGCCCACAGTCGTCACAGCTGAGGAACTGCGCCAGAGCCTAGCAGCAGGGCCCTTCCTGCAGAGCTATGTGACTTGTCTGGGGTCGGAGCTCGCCCAGCGACATTGGAAGTTACATGGAATCAATGTGCGTCATTAGCACTGAATGCGATTGAATGAGTCTGGTTTCAGTTTGTGGCCTGGGCGCTAAGCTTAGGTCGAATGCCTCGAAGCTTCCTTGAAGAGGTGTGACTGGCCAGAGGCTTGACTGTCCGATTCAGAGCACTGATGTTTGTTGACCTGGTCAACAAAAAGATCAAAAAGGCGAAGTGTTGGGTTGCATAGAGCCACCAACCCTTCAACGCATGCAAGAAACATGCACGATGAATGCCTCTCCACCTTCCTGGTTTTGGGAATCACATATACAACATGCACATACGCACGCACACACCCACACCCACACCCACACCGCCCGCCCGCACGCACGCAGCATACTTCACAGAACTGTCACCCCGGCTCAATCTTTGCAGTTGACCGTCCTTGGATTCCTTGGTTTCGTCGTTTTTCCTGCTGAGGAGAGCTCCAAGGCCTTTCACTCGCCCAGACGGCTCGCTCTCGTTGCGGGCCACCTGGCCACCCAAGGCAGGAGAAGGGACGAGAAGGGGCCGTCTCCACACGAACGCAAACAGCTATATAATTCTGGCTCTAATGCCCAGAAGGTGGTTGTCCTTGATGATTTGAGCCGCGGGTCTATCTTCAGTCAACGATGCTCTTTTGGAGTGATGCCAGCACGTCGAAGCAAGCAGTTTGTTGTGTTGTGCAAACTGCTCGGCAGACCCTGCATGCGTTCACATGAAGATAGCCAACAGTCAGAAACTGTTCAGCATGTGGTGGACTTTTGTTAGGCAGGAAGAATCGTCGCACCAAATTGGCCCTGTTTGCCATCACGCCTTCGTGGCGTTCGATGCGAATCGACCGACCGACTCCGTCTTCCACCCAGAGGTCGGTTGCCAACGTCCTCTCATGAAAGCGAAGAGCTTCTCCCACATTGTCCTCACCGTCGTTCCAATGTCTTTTGAAGAAACATGCCGCCTAAGGCGCTAGCCAATGTCGTTTGAACAAAGAAAGTTGCCGCCTAGCGTTTACTATGGCAACCATTCGCAATCTTTAGAATCTGAATAGATCCAAATATGATGCAATCTAGAATGAAAGTTTTGTTTTTCCGGCTAGCACCTGCTGTAGGTGCTAGTCGCTGGCCTTTTATACAGGCGCATCTATGGCTACCAGTTCCTTTCAAAAGACAATTAAGAAATCGACTCCTATAATCCTATGATGCAGTCATGCTTTCATAAGAAAGGCCACTGGCTAGCACCTACAGTAGGCGCTAGCCGCTTTTGAGGAAAATCAGAAGTCATCAAAAGGCTCAGTGAGCTCGCAGGAGGTGCGCATTTTGATTTTCCATTTTGCAGCCACTTGCAGCCGCAGCCACTTGCAAGTGGCTCCCAAGTGGCTGCAAGTGACTGCTACTTCTGTCCAGAGAATATAATGATTTCTGCGCACGCAGTTCTGAAGCAAACCAAGATTTCTGCAATGTTGTTCTATGAAGAACCGAGCTGCGCGCGGAGACATCATGAAATAATCCAAGACTTTTCCAAGAATAAATTCAAAACTTCTGCAGAGCTAGCGACAAAGAAATCTTACAGTTTTTACATAAAGAACTCAAAGTACAGGGTTGAAGTCTAGTGGCTGCAAGTGGCTGCAAGTGACTGCAAAGCCAAAAATCAAAAGGTACGTCATCTGAAAAGGCTAGCAATCTGCAGTTCATAGTTGATTGCAGATTACATTCTAGATTCTAAAGATGGCTAGCGCCCACTGTAGGTGCTAGCCGACACCTTTCTTTGTTCCAAAGACCTTGGCTAGTGCCTACTGTAGGTGCTAGCCAGTGGACCCCCTCCAGCGGCGAGAAATTCTTGTGGTGGGTGTGGCTAGAAATTCTGATTTGGCAGTTTGTTGAACATGTGGCTGCGTATGGTTGTTTTGCAAAGGTTCACCAGTAAGCAAGCCACGCTAGCTGCGCTTTTTCATTTGGGCCCTGTGGTTCGAGTTACCTGCTCCAGTTCTCCCACGATCCATGGATCATGGTTCCAGGTCTCAACGATCAACACCTCGCTTGTTTTGTGTTCGTCTGAGAATTGCCCTCTTGTTGCCACCTGCTTGGCAGATGCTCGAGCCCCAGATTGTACTCGTGGACGTCCACAGCCTTGAGAGAGATTCTGAACTCATTGTGGCCTTTATTTCCTCACCACCAACCAATCGCAAAAGGAGAGAGAGAGGGAGATAGAGAAATCAGTTTGTTGAATTCCTATATCCAGATGGACCGCAAGAATTGTGGCAAGGCAAGGCTAGCGGCTAGACCCTCCTTTTGAAGTACAGTGGGAAATTGGCACTCAACAATTGAGGAGTTGTCCATGTGGGGCGCAGACTATGGGATCTATCCCTCCGCCCGGTAGAGTTCGGCGGTCCGCTCCGCGCTCCAATTCAGGTGTTCGGTCGGATAGGTTTTGCCACCTGGACCCAGTCTTTCCGCGGCGAGACATTTTGATTTGGCTTGTGGCCTGCAGCTAGACATTCTAATCTTGAGCGTGGCGAGAAAGTTTGATGGTGACCCCGGCTAGAAATTCTGAGACTTTAAAAAGACAGGAAGGTAGACTAGAATAGATTGAGTAGATAGAATAGGATAGAGGCAGTGATTTCAGAATCTACTGATCAGTTAAAAGTTAGCGGAAAAAACTGATTCCATCAATGTCGCTTGTTCAGCGCTACCCTAGCTGTTCGCTGGTTTGATGGAATCAGTTTTGCCATCCACCATCCGCCTCCCAGCCTCCAACACGATGACCAGAGTAAAGAACCTATGACCCTGGAAAACCTTCAGAAGACCATCACCAGTGAGTCAGGGAGTGAGGAACAAACATATTAAAGCCTTAAAGCCATAGTTATAATTTTGAACAATTTAAGTTCCCCAAGAAACCTCAAACATGAAACAACCACAGACCATGCAAGAACTGGTCGGGACAAACGATTAAACACCACGGCACCGTTCGACCACCCATGCTTTTGTTTTTTTGAAGCGTGCTAAATATGGTGCGCGTAGGGCAGTGGCTTGTACATTGTTTTTCAAGGCCGCGGGGCATTGACAGGTGACAGGTGCCCTCCCAAAGTCTCCCAAAACTTCTCACAAGTTCACGCCAATCGATGCCTTCGTGGAACATCCAGACTGATCAACAGAAGGACGGCGTAGGAAGACCAACAACCAGAGGACGCAGAGGACCATTGTCCTTTCACCAATGGCCGCCAGTGCGTTGGGTGGACGTACAGCCGTGCAAAACAGAAGTGATGCAAATGTTTTGGTCCGAAACTGGCAGTAGCTGACATGGCTGCCCACTCTTCAACTGCTGTAGCAAGCAGCTTCAAGCGGCGCCTGTAGGGCGAGTATGTAACCCCATCATCCATCTCCAGAAAGCTGGCAAAATCACAAGTGAAGTGAGGACAACAGCTTCGACCCATTGATTCGCGGACGTACCTTATGAGCACAGTCCTTCCACAGGACCTTGTCATGTCGTTAAGACATCAATCTATTTTGTAATGCACTGATGATCACTGATGCCCGAGCTCAAAAGGCTGCGCGTGCCAACGGTTCAGCGTACTCGAGATGTGAATAGAGCACATCCCGATCAAACAGTCATGAAGAGGATCACCATCATCCAGACGTTGTTGGGGAAGACAGCTCTTAGGCCTCGTTTTTTCCCCCTGCACGACCAACAAGCATGGGATTTTCTGGGACTGAAACTGCCCCAAGCAAATGCATGAGATCTCACTCTCACACTGAGTCTCACACTCACGCGCGTCAACAAGCTTAAGGGTTTGAGAGCTCAGAAAAAGTTGCAAATCCAGTCCCCTTTTTGGCCATGCAGCAATGCACTCAGTAATGTTCATGCCCCCCAGGACACATCAAGGGACCTACGGTGTCTCAGTGTGCTTGGCAGGCTTCCACCGCCACTTGCTCCCAGCTGTGCCGTTGCTGGTGCAAGCAGTAGAGGCGCCAGAGTGACAACATTCAACATGCCAGAGGAGAATAGCTGATGCAACGATAAACATATATTTTATACATAATACAGCGTGCATGACTATTGAGTCGAATATTGTCAGCTTTGCCAACATTGTGCCCGAATGAACTTATCATATCATGGTGGGTGGCGAATGCCCAGTGAGAGTGATGTGAGAACATCATTCTAAGCTCCAACATCGTGTGCGCTGTCCGAAGTGACACACGGAAAGTGCAGTAAGAGTGCTGCAGAAGCAGTTGTATGGCCATTGCCACAACTGAGTCCTTCAGCGACGCAGTTCCTGCCCTTCTGATTGCCCTGCGAGCTCTGGCAGCAGACCCACAGTGTTTGCGCTCGCTTTTGGACGAGGACCGAAGGCTGATGCTTTGTGCATCTTATCAGTTAAGGTGTACTCCAAGCTTCTTTCGAATGGACTCTTGGAGAGTCTCTTTGAGCTGCAGGAAGTCTTTCGGCAAAGCTTGGATTCCTTTCACCGTGCGGGTGATGCTGCTTCCACGGATCTGTTGAGCTACATGGAGATGGTGGAGCCACACGGTCCATCATTTTGGGTCGAGGGTTCGTTGACATCAACCAGCGCTCACCCGGCATCACCAGCGAAGGGGTCCACCTTTATGTAGAGTAGGTCCAGGTAGGACGTGTGTCAGTGTGCGTCGTTATTGAGTTTGATCCAAGGATTGTCGAGGTGGTTCTTATGGATTCATGACGATTCATGGATATTCATGGCCACATTCTATTTGTAGGCCGGCTGCCTGGTGACTAGTGACAAAATCTGCAAACGATTCATGCCTTTTCTTCCACCAAAACCTGTTGCAAACTTAAAGACTTAAAGCTGAGAGTTGTGCATAAAGTTGTGGCCGATCACAGTTTCTGAGAGCTCCCCACTTCTTGCGGACCCGCCGTAGCCGAACAAGTCATCATTTTGCAAGCGCAAGACGCTACATTGACTGAATTATAAATAAATATATGGTCTCTCGCTTCGTAGGTAAAAACGAACTAAACGACCTTTTCCTAATGCAGTGTTCTGGCTCTCAGCTGATCGCCACCTGCCTGGAGCACAATCCGGGCAGGTGTGAGTGTGAGTGCTGCAGGGCCTTCGAGAAGGTGTTCCGTGTGCTCTATCACACGGGCACTTCGGAGGCCTTGCGGGCGGCGGGAGCCTAAGACCTACCTGGAGCTTTTGGAGGTTTCGCATCGGCTGAGGGCACGAGAAGCCGGTGGTGCCGCTCCTGGGGAGTCGGGAGTTGGTGAGAGCGGGCAGCAGGAGGCTGCAACAGGGGGAGCCGGAGGTGCTCCTGGTGAGGCCAAGGCAGTGTTGCCACCACTGCCCAGGCCAGCAAAGCGGGTGAAGCAAGACGAACCGATCGTCGACAAGGCCGTCCAGGAGCCCACTACCGAGGAGGAGGAGAAGGACGCAAGAGGAGAGAAAAGAGAGAGGAGCCGCTCAGTCCAAGGAGAAAAAAGGAACACAAGAGAAGAAGAGAGTCGAGGAAGGAGAAGAAGAGCAAGCCCGTTGAATCGCCCCCCTGACCAACAAGGAGAGAAAAGCCCAAGTCCAGGAGGTTTGGCCCCCAAGTCATTGCCCAGACGAGGGGACGGAGCCCAGGTCCTGAAGCAGGCGGTCGTGAGAGAAGAGGAGGATACAGCCCATCTCCTGAAGCTGAGGCAGACCGAGAGTGAGGAGCCGGAGCACTACAGTGAGGAGGAAGAGAGAAGCTTCGAGGAGGCCACCCGTGGAGAGGAGGCGGACCCCCCATGAACCACCTGTCCCACCACCAGGGTGGACCAGGGAAGGGGTTGATCCTGGGCCAAGGCGAAAAAAGCCTCGGCGATCCAAGGCAGCAAAGAAGAGGGAGAGGAACCGCGAGTACTGGCGGCGAATCCGGGCTAGCCAGGGGCAGCGGTAGTCATGCCTCCCAAGCGGAGGCCAGCAGCAGCCGAAGGAGGTGTGAGGAGGATGAGACGGCCGGCAGCTTTGGCCGACAAGTGGAAAGGCAGCCACGAGGTGAGTGTCGACGAGTTGGAGAGCTGGGGGATGATTCGCCTGCAGGAAGAGTACTGGTCCGATGCCATCGACCTCGTGGGCGAGTACCAGGAGATCAGGAGCAGTCAGGGAGACCGGGAGGTCTCCTTGAAGGCATTGGGCACGACGAACGAGAACATGCTCAAGTATGTCAGCGGCCTCAGTACGAAGCAGATCCGAGCACATCTATATGCGGCCCCGCCTGCGAGAGGCAGGTTTGGGAGGATGGGTTGATACACTGCTCAAAGGTATGCCAACACCTTCCGGGCGACACGCCTTGGGAGCGCAACTTGGAGGTTGCACCCGTGGAGAAGGAGAGGGACGATCTAGAGCGAGTTCGGAAGGAGGCCGCCAGCAGAGGAAAAGGAGTTGGGACCGTCAAGGAGAAGCCCAAGAAGGACAGATCCAGCTCTCCTGGAACGTCGGGAGAATCCAAGGCAAAGAAAAAGAAGAAGAAGAAGAAAAAGAAGAAGGAGAGGTTGCGCATCGAGGCCATCAAGCCGCTTTCCCAGATCTTCGGCAAGACGGGAATGGACAGCGATGCAAGCATCAGGCGAAGATTCAAAAAGAGGGCAAAGAAGCTTTCGAAGAAGGGGAAGAGCAAGAAGGAAGGCGACACCTCGTCCTCGGGGAGCTCGGACAGCTCCTCTACGATGGACGTCCAGGAGGATGCCATAACCGGGTTGTTCGCCGAGCAAACAGCTGTACAGAGGATGTGGCATCGATTTCCAGGTGTATTGACCGCTCAGCTGCTTCAAGACATACAAAGGACGATGCTTTTACAGCTGGGCACTATGAACGCGTCCCCCGACCAGCTGACCCCCATCGTGAGCCAGTACGTGCGGCAGCACTTATCGACGATTATGAGTCCTGTCGTATTTCGGGAAGCAGCGCATTGGGGGGCCTGCCTGGATTGCATGATTCAAGGCAGGACAGCAGCCGCGGTGGACATCATGAGCCAGCGTTTGAAGGCTCTAGAGAGCCTTTCAAAGGGTATGGCTGTGGGGGCGACAACAAGAAGAAAGGATGAGCGGAGTGAAAACGGGAGCGGAGGAGGCTCCTGGATTGTCAGCTCGGGCTCCTGGTGGCAGGGAGTCCGGGAACAACGAATTCAAAAAGGACGAAGAGGTGGCCGCTGGTAAGGGCGAAACACCCCGTCTGACAATGCAAGAGGTCATCGCGAAGTCAGTGAGCGTGTTGAGGAAAGACTCCAAGGTTACGATGCGCTCCAACACGGAGAGACCTGCCGGGCGCCACAATCCCATATTCCCGTTGAGGAGGCTTTGGGAGGAGGATCTTGAGCAGGTCACTCCCCGCTCACTGGCGATCGAAGCTGCTACAGGGGTGTTCACTGCCCTGAATCATTTGGCTGGATTCGGAAGTCCTACACCTCACGTGGCAGATGGTCCATTCTCCACTACGATGGCCGGATGTTCAGAGACCTACGTGCGAGCGCTCGCTGAGAAAAATGTGGTTCGTCTGACGTTACGAAACCCGGTGTGGATGGAGGAAGAGAAAGACTTTTGTTTCACTTCTTTTTTCAAGCAGAGAAACGTTGACTACTCAGGGGAAGTTGTTAGGACCGCCCAGAGGCTTTGCTGGGCTGGGGTTAGAGAGTCTTTGCCTAATGGGGTAGGATCTCTTTCCCTCGAATCCTTTTGTCGTTTGGGGACCCTCAACTATGTGATCCCTTTACAGGAACGACAACATGTAGTAAGGCGACCAAAGGTGATGGTTCAGGATGGTCAATGGGCGGTTCTGGTTGAGGGCCTGGTGGCAAAGGGAGTGTGCGAGATCATGGCCTTGGACGACATATACCATTTGGACGACAAGCCTGTTCTAAATGGACTGTTTGCGGTAGGCAAGGGCGAGTTGCAGGGGGAGCTGGAGACTCAACGCCCAATCATGAATCTCACGCCGGTCAATGCCTTGTGCCGTAGTCTGGCGGGAGATGTGGGCACGCTCCCGGCTTTGGCGGGGATGAACGGCTATCTACTGGAGGAGGGAGAAGTGCTACTACTATCCAGTGAAGATATTAGGTGTTTCTTTTACCTATTTGCCGTGCCAGAGTCATGGAAGCGGTATTTGGGATTCAACCGGTTGATACCGAAGCAATCGATCGTTACCCATGGGGTTCATTAACTCCGTATCCATCGCTCAACACATACACAGAAACGTGGTGCGTTGATCAGCCCAGCAAGCAGAGCCTCCTCTTGGTGGGGAGGGGGAACTACGAAAGGATAAAGGGTTACCTAGTTGTGACAACATGTACAGGGTCCACCTTGACAACTTCGATGCCCTGGAGAGGGTCCAGGCTGAGCTTGCTGAGTCGATCAAAGGCACCATCTCAGAACAGGTGGCCAACCTTCGAAACTCCTATGAGCAGCACGGTTTGCCCAGACATCCAAAGAAAGCCGTGGAACGAACGCTCAAGGGGGAGATGCAGGGTGCACTCCTTGATGGGGAGTTAGGGTTTGTCATGCCTAAGCCTGGGAAAGTAGAGCAGGAGGTTTGATAGGTTGCCCTACAGAATCGATGCCAAGGGAATTTCATTGTGTTCACGGCCACGCGAGAGCAAGCATGCCTCCCGACGTTCACAACATCCAGGCCCCGGCAGCCCCGGGCAAGAGACCGGCAGGCTTGGAAGGTTGTCAGAAACATGAGGTTGCGAGGTGGGAGAGAGACAAGTTCAGGTTCCCCCCATACCAATACAAAGATTGCAATATATTGTGGAGCAAGCGTGGGGAGGGACGTCTCCAGATTCTCAGGAGCGGGAGGTCTGTCTTGGATTCCCCGTAGGATATACAAAAAATTGCGTCCCCAAGCAAGAGCAGCGCGGCAGTAACTATGAGGACCAAAGGCTCACATTGCTAGGCAATAGTTGGAGCGTTGGGGTGGTTGCATGGTTGATTAGCCAGCTGGTTGGTCCTTCGGGGTTAGGGAGAATCGCGGGGGTGCAACGCATTGTTGATGAGTTGACGCCGGGGAGGAGTGCAAGCTTCGCCAGCATGCTCATGAGACGGACTTGGTTAACAAATTTTTAGGACTGGGATCCATGAAGGGAGAGGACATCATGGTGCAGAGCAGTAGTGACCCTGCACCCAGATATTTTAGGTTACGTGCCAGCGTGCCAGGGCGGTTGTGGAAATGGCGTGAGATCACGGGGTGGAGGTGGAAGCACTCTGGTGAGCACATCAACGCCCTTGAAATGCGTGCCATCCTGACCGCCATCAAGTGGAGGTTGTGGCGTTGCAAGCGTATTGGGGTGCGGTTTCTGCACCTGACAGACAGCCTGGTGTGTTTACACTCCTTGGCCAGAGGCCGAAGCTCAAGCAGAAAGTTGAAACCCATCATCATGCAGCTGAACTCCTATCTTCTAGCCGGTGACCTTCACCCCATTTGGGGTTACATCCACACATCCCAGAATCCGGCTGATCGACCCAGCCGGAGGCGTGCGCGATTTGGACCGGGAAGTAACTGTGGACGTGATCTATCGGAAGTTCTGCGTTGCCCAGGTATAGGCCTCGCGCGAATGACATGACGACTGTCTGCATTAGGGCAAGGGAGTTGCAGTTCAAAAGAAATGGCTCAAGTAAGGAAGAGATTTCTTGAAGGTCACACAAAAGAAGATAGGAAAAAACAGCGGCAAGCGCTTGGGCCCCTCCGAGGGCTAACAGTATCCGAAAAGACACAACAAAGATATACGCAGGCGCGTTCCAAATTCTATGACTTCCTCTCACACAATGGCCTTGAACTACCACATCGGCGGGACAAGTTTGACCCTTTGCTTTCTGAATACATTGAGCATTTGTGGTCTGAGGGAGAGGGCCGTGGGCTCGCCTCAGATACTGTTGCCGGGTTACAGGACTTGGACCCTAAGCTTCGGGGACAATTACCTCAGACATGGAGATTGCTTAAGACTTGGCACGTCCAGGAGGTGCCGAAACGTGCCCCCCCACTTCTGGAGACTGCTCTGTTTGCTATGGTCGGATGGAGCTTTTTTCATGGACATGTGGGATTCGGCCTTTCCTTGCTGCTAGGTTTTTACGGGATGCTTCGCACGGGCGAGCTCCTGGGGTTGAAGAGCAATGACATGAGCATGTCGGGTCCAAAGTCGGTCACTGTAATTTCGCTAGGCCTAACTAAGTCGGGTAAGCGAGTAGGAGCTGCCGAATCAGTGACGATCACGTCGGGACCAGCACTGAAGTGGCTATGGCAATGGAAAGAGAAGAACAAGCCCAAGACTTTTTTATGTCCAAGGACCATGAATGGCGGCGTCTTTTTAAAGCCTGCCTGGATGCTTTGCTGACATTGTTTGAATTTCGACCCTATTCCCTCCGTAGAGGGGGGGCTACCTTTTGGTTTGGTAAGCGCGGAAATTTAGACAAACTACTAGTTGTGGGCAGATGGCAAGCGGCGAAGACCGCACGCATATATATCAACGAGGGGTTGGCTGTCCTGAATGAGTTGCGACTTCCCAGTAAAGCTCTGCTTCCTTTCACTCGTGTGTTTCACAATCAAACTTCACTTCCACCAGCCCGCTTGAGCAAGCGCGGAAGGCGCAGTAAAAGGGGGACGTGGAAAGAGGAAAGGGGGGGAGCTGTTTTTTCGTTTTCTTTCACAGAC